CCTCCTGCAGGGCCGGTGCTGCAGAGGCTGGACAGGGCTGGCCTGGAAAGGGGCCCCAGCTCCATCTGCCCAGCTCCATGTCCTGGGCAGGTTACCCTGCCTCTCTGCGCCTCTGGCATCTCCTCTTTAAGATGGGAATGGCCCTGCAGGCCCAGGTCAGCATCACAGGAGCTCAGATCCTCGCAGCACTTAGAAGAGTGGGCCTCGGAATGGAGGTGCTATCCGGTTTTTTTTTTTTTTTAATGACAGGCCTTGCTAGGCACAATGGCTCATGCCTGGAATCCCAAAACTCTGGGAAGCTGAGAGGGGAGGATCACTAGAGGCCAGGAGTTCCAGACCAGCCTGGGCAACATAGGGAAACCCCTTATCTACTAAAACTAAGAAAAATAATAACAACATGAATAGGTAAAATGCCAGAAATTAATTGAACTTAAATACTAAGAGCTCTTATTTTGAAGTGGAGAGTTTTATTCACTTCTCTTATTTTTAATGGGTTGGCGGATGGGTGGCAGAAATACTGGGAGGATGAGGGTTCTGCCCCTGGAAAGGCCAGAGTTAGGCCTGAGCTGGGAGAGGTCACCTTGGCCCTGCTGCCCCTGCCAGCATCCCCTCCTCTTCCCCCTCCCTGGTTTTCCTGCTTGGGAAGGCTGCAGAAATGATCAGGACTAGGAGGCTTGAAATTCTCAGAGGTTTTCCAGAAAGCAGAATAGAAAGTAGAAGGGTAACCACCAATCAGAGAAGCCAGAGAAAGGAGCTCAGACCCTCAGGGAGACAAGAAGTGAGCACAGGGGTCTGGGCCCACAGGAACACACTTTGCAATATAATATTACATTTTAAAAAGAAAGATCCTGGCCAGGCGCGCTCACGCCTATAATCCCAACACTTTGAGAGGCCAAGAAGGGCGGATCAGCTGAGGTCAGGAGTTCAAGACCAGCATAGTGAAACCCTGTCTCTAATAAAAACACAAAAGTTAGCTGGGTGTGGTGGCAGGCATCTATAATCCCAGCTACTTGGGAGGTTGAGGCAGGAGAATCGCTTGAACCTGGAAGGCGGAGGTTGCAGCGAGCTGAGATCACATCACTGCGCTCCAGGCTAGGGGACAGTGTGAGACTCCATCTCCAGCTAACTTTTGTAAAAAAAAAAGCAGTTGGGTTTGAAAAGTGGCTTGAGCCTGGGGTGACTCCAGAAGGTACTCCCTGCATCTTCGGTTTTCCCCTTTCTGTTGCACAGAAACGTGATGTCTCTGCTAGCAGCCGAAACATTCAGCTTACAGTTTGACAACCGGCGGCGGCGTAGAAAGAAAGGGCCTTACTACCCCAGGAGGGCATACTTGTGTTACCAGCTGACGCCGCAGAATGGCTCCACGCCTACCAGAGGCTACTTTGAAAACGAGGTGCCACACGGGCTCTCTGGGCACAGGACCGGCAGGGGCTAACCCCATCCGATGTGTGCAGAAAATACGTGAAATGCCTGCCTAGAAATTTCTCAATTGCTGACCTCACACCCTCCGTGTTTTCCTAACCCTCGGTCCCTGCCTCGGTTTTGGCTTAGCTGGGTCTGAGTGGCCCAGCTTCCCTGGGACGCTCCCCATTCCTTCCCATCCCCTGACCTCCCAGGAAGCCATCCCTTCTGTAGAATCCCTTCTGTAGAATGCTCCTTCTGCCCCTCTTTGAGGAAGCTGACATTTACTTATTCTCCCGATCTCAGCTCAGTCACCACTTTGGGGAAGCTGAGGGGCGGCGCCGCGGTCTGAGTGCAACTCCATCACATCCCTGCCTTCCGCTCTGCTGCCTGCACTCACCTGCCCCGCCTCCTCCCAACCCCCTCACCCCCCGGCTCTCACCTGCTCTTTAGGATCCCCAGGTTGGACACAGCCTCCTGGGCGGGTGTCCAAAGGCAAAGTCGACAGAGCTTTGGGACTGGGGCATGGAGGTGTCCTCTCCTCCTCTGGACGCTGGATCTTTGTCCAATTTAGAGAAAGCTGTGGAAATCCCGGGACAAATGAATTAACACAGGGGTGCCTGAGTGCAGGGCTGTACAAACCAAGAAAGGCAGGAAGTGGGTGCTTGCCAGGCTACACACTAGAAAGTTCACCGGACAGACCCCCTCCGCCCCCCCACCCCCGTCCCAGCCCCCCTCCCCTCTGCCACCAGTCACGTGAATCCCGGCCTCTGTCTTCTTATCTTCCTTCTCTCTGTTTGGGACCCTCTCCAGAAAAATCGCCATGCAGAAATTTGCTTTATTGACGAGATTGAGTCCATGGGACTGGACAAAACCCAGTGCTACGAAGTCACCTGTTACCTCACGTGGAGCCCCTGTCGCTCCTGTGCCCAGAAGCTGGTTGCCTTCGCCAAGGCTCAAGACCATCTGAACCTGCGCATCTTCGCCTCCCGCCTGTACTACCACTGGCGCCGGCGCGGCAAGAAGGGGCTGCAGCTTCTGTGGAAATCCCAGATCCCCGTGGAGGTCATGGGCCTCCCAGGTAGGAAGGAGGCTTTGCAGTTCCAAGAGGCCAAAACCGCGGGGTGGGGGTGGGGGGGAATCTGTGGGAGGTCAGGAAGGAAGGATTGTGGCCCAGTTGAGGCCCAAGATCCGACGCCACCCAGGAGGGAGAATTCCCCTGAGAGAGCACTGTCCAGGGAGAGGAAGAGAGGAGAGGGGAAAGGAAGGAGGAGCTCCTGGCGCTGCAGCTGCTGCCCCGCCTGGCTGCTTTCTCCTCTTTCATCTCAGAGTTTACTGACTGCTGGGAAAACTTTGTGGATCACGGGAAACCGCCTCCCTTCAACCCCTCTAAGAAGTTACAGGAGCTAGGTGAAGCAAGTCGATCCATAAAGAGACGACTGGAGAAGATAAAGGTGAGATGCTGTCCTGCTGCTGCCCACTGCCCCCTCACCGCCGGCCTCCGCCCCACTCCTGATCACGCCTCTGCCCTGCTCTTCCCCCTACTTTTTTTTTCTTTTCGCTTTGGAGACAGGGTCTCACTCTGTCACCCAGGCAGGAGCGCAGTGGTGCGATCTCAGCTCACTGTGCGGCCTCTGCCTCCCAGCTTCAAGTGATTCTCATGCCTCAGCCTCCCATGAAGCTGGGAATACAGGCACCCGCCACCATGCCCAGCTAATTTTTGCATTTTTAGTGGAGATAGGGTTTTACCATGCTGCCCAGGGTGGTCTTGAACTCTTGGCCTCAAGTGATCCACCTGCCGCAGCCTCCTAAAGTGCTGGGATTACAGGTGTGAGCCATCGGGTCCGGCCCCACCATCTGCTTCCTTTTTGTGTTCTCCTCTCACACCAAGGGCTCCCAGCTCCTCCCTCTCTCCCTCTTTTGTTCTTTTAGATTCTAGGGGTACATGTGCAGGGTTATTACATGGGTATACTGTGTGATGCTGAGGCTTGAGTCACCCAATCTACTGGAACATGGCATCCAATAGGTAGTTTTTCATCCCTGGTCCCCCTCCTGCCCCCGCTTCTTTTGGGGTCCCCAGTGTCTATTATTTCCATCTTGATGCCCATGTGTACCCCTTACCATATACAAAAATTAACTCGGCTGGACACGGTAACTCATGCCTGTAATCTCAGCATTTTGGGAGGCTGAGACGGGTGGATCACAAGGTCAGGAGTTCGAGACCAGCCTGGCCAACATGGCAAAACCCCGTCTCTACTAAAAATACAAAAATTAGCTGGGCATGGTGGTGGGTGCCTATCATCCCAGCTGCTCGGGAGGCTGAGGCAGGAGAATTGCTTGAATCTGCTAGGTGGAGTTTGCAGTGAACTGATATTGAACCACTGCACTTCAGCCTGAGTGACAGAGCAAGACTCCATCCCGAAAAAAGAAAAAAATTAACTCAAGATGTGTGGGGCATGATGACTCATGCTTGTAATCCCAGCACTTCAGGAGGCCAAGGTGGGTGGATTGCTTGAGCCCAGGAGTTCAAGACCAGCCTGGGCAACATGGCAAATCCCCATCTCTACAAAAATATGAAAATCAGCCAGGCATGGTGGCATGTACCCATGGTCTCAGCTGTTCGGGAGGGTGAGGTGGGATGATCGAGTGAGCTCAGGGAGGTGAAGGCTGTAGTGAGCGAGATCATGCCACTGCACTGTAGCCTGGGCAACAGAGTGAGACTTTTTTTTTTTTTTTTAAAGGGCTGGGCGTGGTGGCTCATGCCTGTAATCCCAACACTTTGGGAGGCCAAGGCAGGCGGATCACCTGAGGTCAGGAGTTCAAGACCAGCCTGACCAACATGGAGAAACCCTGTCTCTACTAAAAATACAAAATTAACTGGGCATGGTGGCACATGCCCGTAATCCCAGCTACTCAGGAGGTTCAGGTAGGAGAATCGCTTGAACCTGGGAGGTGGAGGTTGTGGTGAGCCAAGATCACGCCCCTGCACTCCAGCCTGGGGAACAAGAGCAAAACTCCATCTAAAAAAAAAAAAAATTAACCCAAGATGAATTAAAGACGTAAATGTAAGACCTCAAACTATAAAAATCTTAGAAAAAGGCTGGGCGCGGTGGCTCACACTTGTAATCTCAGCACTTTGGGAGGCCGAGTCAGGTGGATCACGAGGTCAGGAGATTGAGACCAGCCTGACCAACATGGCGAAACCCCGTCTCTTCTAAAACAAAAACAAAAACAAAAACAAAAAATTAGCCAGGTGTGGTGATACATGCCTGTAATCACAGTTACTCAGGAGGCTGAAGCAGAAGAATCACTTGAACCCGGGAGGTGGAGGTTGCGGTGGGCGGAGATTGCGCCATTGCACTCCAGCCCCGGGGACAGAGCAAGACTCTGTCTCAAAAAAATAAGAAAACCTTAGGAAAAAACCTGGGAAATATGAAATACTCTACTGGACATTCATCTATGCAAATAATTTATGACTAAATTCTGAAAAGCAAATGCAACCAAACCAGAAATTGACAATTGCGATCTAATTAAATGGAGCTCCTACACAGCAAAAGAAACCATCAACACAGTGAACAGACAAGCTCCCTTTTCTAAGATGCTCTTGTCACCCTCCTGTTTTTCTCTGGACCTTCCCTGCCCTTCTGGTGCCAGTCCTCTCTTCCTAGTGATCTCATCCTCACATCTCCCTCCTTCCTCCCTGTGTTGTCTTACCAGTTGCTACCTCCTAACTTCTCTCTTTCCCTCTCAACAGTCCCCGTTTGTGGATTTAGAGACTGGCTTGAGAAGTTTGCAGCTTGGACCCGGATCCCCCTCATCATCAAGAAGCAACTTGAGATGACTGTCCCTGGGGCATGTCATCGGGTCATCGCCTCATAGCCTGCTGGCCCTGTGAGCAAGCACCAAGCTCCACAGTGCCTGTTCCTTGCCCCAGACCTGGCCTTACCCAAGTACAGAAGAGCTTTCTTTCCTCCTTCTTCCATTTTGCTTTTCTAAGCGGGTGAATAATTTTATAATTGAAAAAAATAAAGATAATTTTAAAGTCTGTAAATCTGGCCACCAGGTGCAGTGGCTCACACCTGTCATCCTAGCAGTTTCGGAGGGTGGGGCGGATGGATCACCTGAGACTAGGAGTTCGAGACCAACCTGGCCAACATGGCGAAACCCTATCTCAACTAAAAATACAAAAATTAGCCGGGCGTGGTGGCGGGCACCTGTAATCCCAGCTACTCGTGAGGCTGAGCCAGGAGAATCTTACTTGATTCTTTTGGGTTGCAGGGAACTGGGAAACTTTTTTGGGGGGAGCAGAGAAATGGAAGCTCCCAGGCAATTTTGTTCTCTGATACTTCATTTTATTCACCTATGGAGTTGAATTCTGGGCTTTCTGTAAAATCAATGTACATTTCAAGACGGGAAACTATTTTCAAGTTTTACTAGTGGAATTGCATTTAGTCACCAGCCAGATATAGGACCTTTGAAATAAAATATGAATTCTGAATAACAAGAGGAGTGGAGAAAATATATTTATTTTATTGGAACCTGGGGGGTGGAGGTTGCAGTGAGGCTAGATCGTGCCACTTCACTCCAGCCTGGGTGAAAGAGCAAGACTCTGTCTCAAAAAGAAAAAAAAAAAAAACAAGAGAAAAACGTCCATAAATCCCGGGTGTTATGGTTTGAATATGTCCCCTCTGAAACCAGGTGTTGCCAATGTGATGGTATTAAGAGGGGGCCCTTAGGGGATGACTAAGCCATGAGGGCCCCTGCCTCATGAACAGGATGAAGGCCCTTATACAGGAGGCTTCTGTAGGGCTGTTGGCCCCACAGGGTCGTGGGGTGTCCCTTATGCTGTGTTGAGGCACAGGATCAGAGAAGAGACAGGAGACTGAAGAACTCGAGAAGAGCAGCTGGACTCGGGGGGCCATGCCACCTATGATCGGAGACAGGTGAGGCCCCGAACGTCCAGAAGTGTCTGTATTTATTAGGTACAAGACAGGGGGGTAGGGTCATGAGTGAGGTCATCTATAGGCTTAGTGATAGGGCATACATAATCACGTCAATAGCAGGTGAGGGGGCCACCCCATTATGTCGCCTAGGAAGAGAGGTGGGCCATAAGCAGTAGGGGGCCACGCGCAGTAGGGGGCTATGCCATGCACAGTAGTGGAGGATCATGTACAGAAAAGGAGTCCACCCCCATTAGGTCACTGAGGCAAGGAGGTGGGCTGTGTGCAACAGGTGTTGTGCACAACACTTCTTATCTGGGGGCTGGAGACTTCAAAGGATTTCTAATAGAAGGATACTGTAAGCCAATGCAGTGGGAGCTGACAGACTTGTGCTCTTCTCTAAGATATTTATGGGAGGATGATTTGAGCTAGCACAGAAGTGAGAAAAGGCTGACAGGGGGTACACCTGCCGTGACTGGTCACACCAGAGGGGTTCTTCTCCCTTGGTTATTTGCGGGATCTCAGGCCTGAGGCCTCCTTTCCATAGGAACTGGATGCAAGGTACTACAACTCCTTTATCAGGAGGACAGGCTCTTGCTCCAAGCCTGCCATACAGCATTACAGCGTATGCCCTTTCAGGCAGGGAGGCCAACACCTGGGTCTTTGGTTCTTGTCCTAGTCTGGCTGTTTTCCCATGTACTGCTTCCGCTTTGTGACTGCTCTAGGCATTCCTCCTACTACAAACTACCATCTAGTTATATGGAAAGATTATATAAATCAGCGCTAAATGTGTCGGTACAGCTCTGACTACAATACCTATATGATTATATAGAATACCTATATGATTATATAGACTATAATATTTATATGACTACATAGAAAGATTATATGGAACTAAGTATGCTAGATATAAGTACTAAGTATGTTTATATAAGCTAGATATATTATGCAGTAAGTTACTATATGATTATATAGAAAGATTATATAAAGGAAATAGCTGAGCAATTAATAACACTATAAGCTAAGATAGTCTTCAGGCACTAATTGTGCCTGAGGTTTGCACAGCTCTCCTTCCTTGGTGCTGCTCACGTCGGGGGTTACCTACAGGCTTCATTCAGGCATTGGCTCACTTGCCCTTCCCCCATCCACGATGTGAGGATGCAGCGCTCCTCCCCTGTGGAGGGTGCAGCAGCAAGGCACCACCTTGGAAGCAGAGAGTGGCCCTCACCAGACACCGAATCTGCCAGTGTCTTGATCTCTGACGACCCACCCCTTGGTGCTGTGACAGTAAATTTCTATCGTTTATGAATCACCCAGTCTGTGGTATTTTATTATAGGACGTATGGACTAAGATACTGAGTTACAGCCAGGTGCAGTGACTCATGCCTGCAATCCCAGCACTCTGGGAGGCTGAGGCAGGTGGATCACCTGAGGTCAGGGGTTTGAGACCAGCCTGATCAACATGGAGAAACCCTGTCTCCACTAAAAATTCAAAATTAGCCGGGTGTGGTGGTTTGCACCTGTAATCCCAGCTGCTTGGGAGGGTGAGGTAGGAGAATCTCTTCGACCTGGGAGGTGGGGGTTGCAGTGAGCCCAGATCTCGCCACTGCACTCCAGTCTGGGCAACAGAGTAAGACTCCATCACCCACCCCCCCAAAAAAAGGCAGGGTGCCGTGGCTCATGCCTGTAATCCCAGCACTTTGGGAGGCTGAGGCGGGTGGATCACCTGAGGTTAGGAGTTTGAGACCAGCCTGACCAACATAGAGAAACTCCATCTCCACTAAAAATACAAAATTAGCTGGGCATGGTGGTGTGTACCTGTAATCCCAGCTACTCGGGAAGCTGAGGCAGGAGAACTGCTTGAACCCAGGAGGGGAGGTTGTGGTGAGCCGAGATCGTGCCATTGCACTCCAGCCTGGACAACAAGAGTAAAACTCCATCTCAAAAAAAAAAAAAAAAAAAAAACAACCAAAAAAAAACTAGGAAGGATTTTATTCTACAGCACCAAAAAATTAAAAATCAACAATGCTCTATTGAAGGAGTCCCTGTTGAGTCTAGAATCACTGGATTATTTTGTAGTCCAGGTAACCTCTGTCTCTTCTCAGTATCTAAAAGTGTTCAAATAAATAAGGTGAAACTCTATGGAGCAGAGGTGCCCACAAAATTGATTGAAAAAAGCAAAAAACAGCCGGGTGTAGTGGCTCATGCCTGTAATCCCAGCACTTTGGAAAGCTGAGGTGGGCAGATCACAAGATCAGGAGTTTGACACCAGCCTGGCCAACATGGTGAAATCCCATCTCTACTAAAAATACAAAAAAATTAGCTGGGCGTGGTGGTGGACGCCTGTAATCACAGCTACTCAGGAGACTGAGGCAGGAGAATCGCTTGAACCTGGGAGGTGGAGGTTGCAGTGAGCCAAGATCACACCACTGCACTCCAGCCTAGGCAACAGAGAGAGACTCCATCTCAAATTATAAAATAAATAAATAAAAACTATAACTATTTAAAGTCATTTCCACAGTTAATTGCTTAAGGCTGATGCAGTTTCTGAAAACTTTACAAGCATGCAAAATCCGAGAAGATGGTATCTTTTAAAAGATTCGTAAAAGGATGGAAAGAACTCCGAAAAGCACTCTTGAATACAGGCCTCTAATAACTTTAAAATCATGTCATAGAAAAGTAAATACATTTTAAAATGTCATATCATGGGTAAGAATTCCCCATGAATTCCCCAATTCTGCAAGAATTCCTGTAACTCCTGGGTAAGAATTCCTGTAGCTTCAATTAAAAAAAAAAAAACCAAAAAACACAAAAAAAACTGACAGGTTTATAAAACTGCTAACACAAGTAAAACAAAAATGAATTACATACCAAAAAAATACTTTGCCAGATTATCATGCTAAATTGGCCCATACTAAAATTATTTAGATAGACAATTTGAATGAACTCAATGGTCTAAGTCAGATTACCTATGCTAACCCATTGGGTATCAGTGCTACACACCTACATTGGAGAAACAAAGGGTATTCCAGAGGACATGAGTCCAGTGTTAAGCATGGACTCCTGGAGAACCAGGACGGCCGCCTTGTCCTTCCTGAGTCCTTAAAGCTTTTGTTATTAAAGGTTCTGCATTCCATGACCCATCATGGAAGAAATAAAATAATCCACATTGAATATATTGATGTGGTGACTTATAAATTGAGGAAATCGTTTATTTTTATTTATTTATTTTTGAGATGGAGTTTTGCTCTTGTTGCCCAGGCTGGAGTGCAATGGCATGATTTCGGCTCACTGCAACCTCTGCCTCCCAGCTTCAAGTGATTCTCCTGCCTCAGCCTTCCGAGTAGCTGGGATTACAGGCGCCCGCCACCATGCCCATTTTATTATTTTTAGTAGACAGGGGGTTTCATCATGTTGGCCTGAGGCAGTGGCAGCCACAAATAAACCTCTGGAACACCGAATAATGAAGGAAGTGGTAATTTTATTCGGCTGGGAGCTGCGGCAGGCATAGACACCTCAACAACTGAGCTCTCCGACAAGGAAAATCCTGGCCTTTTTCAAGGCTCACAATCTAAGAGATGTAAGAGGTGCACTTGTGAGAGGGTCGTGGTTGATTTAGCAAGCGTGGGGGGCGTGACTAGATGGCGGTCTTGAGAGGCTGAGCAAGAACAATGACTTCCGGGATAAGGTTCCCCCATACGGTGCCTGTGGTCTACAGATAGGATTGTGGTTAGCAGTAGGGGGTTTAATTTTCTTTTTTTTTTTGGAGATGGAGTCTCCCTCTGTAGCCCAGGATGGAGTGCAGTGGTTCGATCTCGGCTCACTGCAACCTCCACCTCCCAGGTCCCAGTTCAAGCAATTCTCCGACCTCAGCCTGCCAAGTAGCTGGGATTACAGGCATGAGCCACCATGCCCAGCTAATTTTTGTATTTTTTAGTAGAGACAGGGTTTCACCATATTGGCCAGGATGACCTTGAACTCCTGACCACGTGATCTGCCCACCTTGGTCTCCCTGAAGTGCTGGGATTACAGGCCTAAACCACCACACTCCCCTCCACCTGCCAACAGAGATTCTTTACAGATGTAAATTTTCCCTCACCAAGGACAGCTT